GAACCTCATATGACGGCTGCATATGATTTGTCCGTCATATGACGACGTCGTATCATCGTATGATTGTTTCAATTAAAAATCATGTTTACGATATGATGGGTCGTCATATCGTCATATTTCCGATGTTAAGGAAAAGGGAAAGAAATATTTTTTATTTTTCTCGATTTCCCTTGCGTTGATATGTGGCTGAATGGTTAAGGCGACTGGCTTCACAAACAGATATTTTCATAGGGTTGGGTTCGAGTCCAAGGCTGGAAATTAGGCCGAAAAAAAAATTTTTTTTCAAAAATAAATGTTTTTAAACTTTGATTTTCATTTTAGATGTTTAAATTTATTTTTTTTTAATATTTTAAACTTGAAAAGCATTAAAAAATTTAATTTAGTCATTATTAGCCAAAATTCTCAAAATTTTTGCCTGCGGCGCAAAAAATGGAAGACTCTACCCGAAGGCTCTACCCCGACAAACCCCGATCCCCGACGCAAACCCCGAGTAGGGGTCGGGGTAAAACATACACCCTTAAAGATGGGAATTTTATTCGAATTGACAAAATATTTTTCCCGATATTTTTAGAAAAGTCAAATTATATAAAATAATTTTTCTTTCATTATTAGATGAAGATGTGTGGTGAAGATTATTAGATGAAGATGTGTGTACCCTAATCCACCGATATCCCTTTAATCCCTCCTATTTTTATACCAATGGATAGAGGAGAGTGTTTTACATACGTTAAGTAAAAATCAGAATTTTAGCTTAACTGTCCTAAAACTTATAAAATTTAAAATATGCTTGATTGAAATAATCAAAAAATAACTAATAAAAAATGCCTATTGGAGAGAATGAGTCCCTTTTTTGCTCAAAAATGGGGTACTTTACGCGAGAGGGAATAGTAAATTTTAGAGATGTGCGAGACTCTTGGTCTTGGTCTTGGAACCAAGACTTTTCTTGGTTTTTTTTCGGTCTTGGTCTTGGTCTTGGTCTTGGGGTGTTTGTCTTGGTCTTGTCTTGGTTTTATTTTTTGGTCTTGGTTTTTTGGCCTTTTTGGACCTAGTGCTTGGCCATCCAAAATCCTCAAAATTTTCGCCTGCGGCGCAGAAAATGGAAGAAATCTGGCTTCTTGAGCTCCAAAATTCAAAAAATTTTCGCCTGCGGCGCTGAAAATGTGAATTTTTTTGGCCTACGGCCTTCCAAAATTTTCAAAATTTTTGCCTGCGGCGCAGGAAAAGGAAGATTTTTGGCTTCTTTGCTTTCATAATCCTCAAAATTTTCGCCTGCGGCGCTAAATCCCACGGCTATCCCTCTTAATCTTTTGATATCACTAATATCCCGTTAATCCACCCAAACCCTCTGAAATAATAACCTATTTTATTGATTTTCCACAGAATAAATTCCCCGAAATTCTTTGAATTTCGCATAAATTTTTCGAAATTATAGATAATTGTGCTGAAGTTGACTGTGATCGTATCAAAATAACAAAAAATAAACCAAAAATTTGACCTATGGGATTTAAAAATTTGGTCTTGATTTTTGGTCTTGAGTCTTGGAGTTTTGGTCTTGGTCTTGTGTCTTGGTCTTGGAAAAAATTTTGTCTTGGGTCTTGAGTCTTGAGTCTTGGAAAAATTTCGGTCTCGCACATCTCTAGTAAATTTATTTTTGAACCAAAATTTTTATAAATTATATCAAAAAATAAAGCACACTCTATCCTATCTACAAATATTTAATTTGGAATTTTTAGGTTGAATTAAAATTTTTAAAAATTTTTAAAAATCTCTTTAATTGGCACATATGTACCAAAAAGCACGTATGTCTACATATGATGTTTCCAAGGCAAAACTCATCATATGATGAACATCATACGTCTCAATATTTTGTAATTGAAACATACGTATGATTAATCATATGATAAATCATACGCCGCGTATGATTCTACGTACGATGTGATGATCACATCAGCGATGTGACGATATGATTAATTGAAACACACGTATGATTTTCTCATATGATTAATCACATCTGTGATGTGATTATTCGTATGATTTTCCTGAAACACGCATCGGGGATATGATTCTTCATCACATCGTATCATCACATCGCAGATGTGATGCTAATTGAAACAGGCCCCTGGTGAAAAAGTTGGTTTTTATGACATAACTTTTTTATCAAGCGTCAAAAATTCTGATTTTTGATATGCCCTAGTAACTATCTAATGTTACCAAGGATATGAAAAGGTGACCATTCTTTGGATAGTTATAGGATCAGACTGAATTGAGGTGCTCCGTCTTCTGGAGTTATCCTTCAAGGTCCTTTAGGTGTTGTATACCTAAATTCGTGTTCAGACTGTTTTATTTTATTTTAAATTTAAAATTCCAGGCAATTTTCTTAAATGAATTGAAGCATCAAAATTTTGATTTATTTCAAAGAAAAGTACATGCTATAGCTTTAAATAATAAAACTAGTGTAAGAAACATTAAGGTTCCATTATTCTTGTCATAATTTTAATTTTTATTATTTATTAGAATATTATTTTGGAATTGACAAAGGTTTAATTTTACATAAATTAATAAAAAATAAATAAATATATTAACTTATTTCTATTTTGCGTTACATATTACCATTTTTTGTTTCATCAAACAATGTTATAAGTTTACATATAATAGACTAAATTAAGTTAGGTTTTTAATCCCTTAAGTTTAATTTCACTGATAAGAGCAATTCTGAATCCAAAAAATTGTATCTTATAATATACTGAAGTGAAGAAAAGTAAATGAATCTTCCCTCCAAAAACATCTTAAAATGAGATTTTTTATTGGGTGTAGCAGGGAGGTATAACTTTATCTGTTAATTCTGCATTATTTAGGATGTGGAACATCTTAATATTTCTGATGAAGATGTAAGTTTAAAATTTACTAGTTTAATTTTTTCATTTTTAACAATAGAAAATTAATTTAAAATTTTAAAGTATTTTGTTTTATTTATTTAGTAGCTTAGTTTGAAGTTTATATTTTAAATTAAGCAATTTTTAAAATAATAAAAAAATATTTGAATAATCATGGAAATTATTTTTATATTTTTAGTGCTTATATTTAATTTTGAAATATTCAATTAAATAAAATATAAAAATAAAATTTAGATAATTAAATTGATGGAATTGGAGAATAAAAATTTTGATGAATATAAAAAACAAATATATGGACTTTCTTTAATTTATGGAATTAAAGTTAAAGTTATCAAGGTTTTAATTGCAAATTCTTTTTAATTTTAAAATTTATTTTTAATTAGTATATGCTTAATGAACGATTCAAGGTTTCAATATTTATATTAATAGAAAAATAGTACAGGGTGCGGCAAATTAAGCGCGCGTTTGTTTTTTGCCATAACTTTCTTCAATTTTAATGAAAATTGATAATTCTTTTTTTGTTTTATTCCCAACACGTTAGGAAACTTGATGATACCAAATATTAAAAATTTGGTTCACTGTTGGCAAAGATAATCGAGTTCGGACGTCTGAAAAATTTAAAAACATTTTTTATGCCAAAGTTTAATTGATCATAACTTCGTTCAAAATCGTTCAATACAAATGATTTTGGTACTAAACGACTCATCTCGTCCAGGAGCATCGAAATAGCTTATAATCTCATTTTTGAAAATTTTACACAAAAATTTTATTTTTATCAAAATTATTTTAATTTATAATTCAGAGGACCGTATCTCATTCGATTTTTGTCGTAGCCCCATGATTTTTATGTCATTCGAATCAGAATGAAGAGCTGATTCGAATGATATAAACATTTCCAATATTAGAATCTCAGCCTTTTATCTAGGCCAATTTTTATCCAAAAAATTCTGCTCAAACTTTGAGGGAAGTTTACTCAGAATAAACTTAAAATTAAAAAGCAATTTTGGTATCAGTAAGTTTCCTAAAGTGTTGGGAATAAAACAAAAAAAGAATTATCAATTTTCATTAAAATTGAAGAAAGTTATGGCAAAAAACAAACGCGCGCTTAATTTGCCGCACCCTGTATATTTTACAATAAAAATTAAGGATTATAATATTATTTATCAAATTATAAAATTTAGGAGATACTTAAAAATTTTTTGCTTTCCACCTTAAGTAAAAGTTTCCTTTATAATTTTTATAAATTAAGCAATTAAATAAATTTTCTAATCAATCAACAAATAAATTAATTTTACAACAAACTTCCTTCAATAAATCTCCAACTTTTCCCCACCATAATATTGAACAAAGTCCTCATGGAATCATTAAAGGAAATTATCAACTTAACAATCCGATGCCTTTATTTAATAATCAAGTTTCGACTCCAGCTTTAGCTAATATACATAATAGTCAACATACTGAAAACGTTGGGACAAGTACAAGTAATCAATTAAAATCATCAGTTAATTACTCAATTGGAGATCAAACGACAACAATGAATAAATCTATAGATAATATTACTTTTAACTAATTCCTGAATTAATGCAAAGCATATAGCTTCTAAAAAATAGCATATGGCTTTGAAATTCTAAAATAGAAGCACACCCTTAATAAATTACACCCTACGAGAGGATTGAAATATAGAAGCACATGTGCTTCAATTAGAGAATTTACGGTATTTAATTCCTAAGGCTATGCAGGAGGTGTCGTGGTGTAATGGATAACACATCAATCCGGTCTACTGAAAATGCTGGTTTGCACACAACCGCCGATTAACGTTTTGCACTAGCTGAAGGAAAGAAATACCTATAGCCCAGCTGCTTTACTATATCATTGAAATTAGTGTAGGACGAATATAGGGGTAATTATTTAATAGATGGTAGTTATTTGAAATAATAATTTTGCTTTATATTTTAGATAACTACTATATAGAAGATGTGAAACATCTTACAATTAATATCTCTGATGAAGATGTTAGTTTAAAATTTTATATTTTTAGTGCTTCTATTTAATTTTGAAATATTCAATTAAATAAAATTTAAAAATAAAATTTAGATAATTAATTTGATGGAATTGAAGGATAAAAATTTTGATGAATATCAAAAACAAATATATGGACTTTCTTTAATATATAGAATTAAAGTTAAAGTTATCAAGGTTTTGAATAGGAATTTTTTTAATTTATAAATTTATTTTTAATTAGGACATCATTAATGAACGATTTATGAATCTCTATAAATCTTCAAACTTTCCCCACCATAATATTGAACAAATTTCTCATGGAAATATTGAAGGAAATTATCAAATTAACAATCCGATGTCTTTTGTTAATAATGAAAATTTATATGGAAATAATTTTGATTATCATCAATTAAATTTAAATCAGTTTATTGGAGGAAATAATCAAAATACTGAAATAAATTATTTAAATAATTTAATTGGTAATCAAAATGTGGTTAATGAACAAATTCACAGTCCGGCAAATAATATTAGAAATAAGCAAAGTTTAGATATTGATACTTCAAACAATGAACTTATGAAAGTAGTGGAAAGCAGTAAGGTAAATAAAAAATGTTTTTAAATCTGGTTCGAAATTTCCAGTCTACAGGTCCGATATTAGAAGGGGGGCATGGATTTTCCAGAAACGGAAAACCCAGATTTGAATAAGTCTTGGACCTTATTTGTGTTAAAACTCAATAAACAAATAAAATAAGATTATTTAAGGGTTCAACGGAGAAACAAAAGCAAAAATTACCTATGGAAGAGGAAGATTCTCCCAATTTTTATCAATATTTTGGTAATTTTATTGACAATTTTATCAGACAAAATAAACTATTTCAGCAAACAATTTGGACCAATCTGACCTTGTCAATAATCAATTTAATTTCCAAAATAATCCCCATAAAAACACATTACCTTTATTCGAACATCAAAATACCAAAAAAACTTCGAAAGGAAAAGAACATATGAAATATCTTTAAATGTATATTAGCATTAAAGTGCGGATTTATAGGCAAATAAAAACAGTGAAATAAACGCCAAAATAGGCACCAAAAAGTCAAAAAAGGCAAAAAATAGGCAGTTAAAAAGTTTATCATACATATAAAATTAAGATAATAATTAAGAGAACTTTTCAAAATTATCTAAAGTAAAAGTGATTGTTTCTCAGAAAAAAACAATAAAGCAAAAATAGACCAAAAATTTCAAAATAGACAAAGTGTCTCAAAAAGTCCAAGAAAGATAGAAATATGTAGGCAAACTAAAATTCATGCTAAATTCTTCAGGCCAGGCCAAAGACACATTTTTTGAACTTATTACTTATTCCAAGCTTTCAGAAAAAAGGCATTTGCCTATAAATCCGCACTTTAATTAGCATTCATGGGATTATTTAATTTTTGTCGAATATTTTAAATATGTATATTTGATAATTTATAATTATATTATATCAAAATTTAGACGGTATAGCTATTACTAATAATTTTTTCTTTATGTTAAAAATTCTTCTAAAATTTCTAAATAAAATTAAGCCCAAACAAAAAAGCGGTTAAAGTTTAAATATTCTTTTAACCCATCCTTAGTAATATTTTTTTATTAAATACCTATTTATGCTTTACCTTTATATAAAAAAAACTTAGTAATTTATTTAAAAAATGTGTTTTCGTTGTTTTAAAATATTTTTAACAATAAAAACATATAAAAAATTAAACGATTATTTTTTAACTAAATTTCGGGATTAAATAAATACAAAATATATATTACTAATATTTTTTAAAAATATATTTACCTATTGTTATGGACATTAAAAATATTTTGTATATAAAATGAAAAATAAAATCATTTTTTAAATCAAAAACCAAATATATTTAAATATTTAAAATAATTTTAAAAAATATTTTCCAAATTTAAAATGAATCCATTAAAGATTTTTATTATTATCTCGATTGTTTCTTTGACTTTACTATTGAAAATTGATGAAATTAATGCTGATTCTTTAAGTGGAAATTTCAAAGGTAATTTTTAAAATTATAATAGGGAAGCTTTAATTTTGATGGATAAAAGAATTAAAATTTGAAATTAAAATTGAAGATTAAAATCCTAATTAAAATTATGAACAAAATTAGGAATCAAGAGAATAAATCTCAATAATTCTAATAATTATTATCGGTGATGGCATGGCTCAGGAGCCGGCTCCGGCGGAGCCTGAGCTAAGATTTTTAAAACCCCGGAGCCAACAAAATGCCAACTACCGTATTTGCTGAAATAATGTCCCTCTCTCAAATAATTACCCCCTCCCTATTAATTACCCCCTCCAGCGAGAGGTTGAAAAAATAATTACCCTCTCTCAAATAATTACCCCCTATTTTTCCTGAGCTACTTTTGAAAATATTTATTAAAAACCATTTTGAGTTTAATAATAGACATTTTAAGGATCAATATAAAAAATAAATCAAAAGAATAAAAGTATTTGGAGAGAATATAGTGGAATCTACGAGAATTAAGAGAGATTAAGAGGATTTGGTTGAGATTTTTTATTAGAATTTTAAGCATTTAAATTATACTGACTCTTCCCCTTCATATTCGACATAGGCCTCTAGGTGACTTTTTATATCTGAAGATTATAAGTGTATTTAGAGAATTTAGGGTATATTCCCTAAATAGGAATCATATATATTTGTATACATGTCCTCGTGTCTTTATATATCCCAGGAAGGAAGCATTGTTGTTATTGTACCATCTTGGGGTACTTTATTTATGAAGATATTAAGGGAGTATACTAGAATATCGGTGAAAATTTAAGATTCAGCTCCAAAATCGGTAACTTATTGTATATCCCTGTTCATATGCTTATGATTAAATAAAAATTTTATATGTCGAAAAAATAATGTCCCTCTCTATATAATTACCCCCTCCCTTTTAATTACCCCCTCCAGCGAGAGGTTGAAAAAATAATTACCCTGGGTAATTATTTTAGCAAATACGGTACTCAGTCTGATTATTATTATTTATTATAGTTGGTTATTTAAAATTAAATTAGATAAATAGAACAACAATAAAAATTAAAATAAATTATTTAAAAATCATTTATAATTTTAAAATAAATTTAAAAATTATCCAATTTTCTAAAAAAGAATTAATTTAAAAATTTAATAGGTCCATGTCTTAGCGATACTAATTGCAGAAATGTTTGTAAAGGCGAAGGTAAAAGGTCGGGGCACTGTAATACAACCTTCTTTGGAAAATGCTGGTGTGAAAATTAAATAAAAATAAAAAGAAATTTTATTTGATAAATGGAAGATTTTTTTAATTATTAAATTATAAAATTGTAAAAATAAAGCATTTTAAATTAAAGAAATTAATTATGATAATCTGCTATGTAGATAATAATAATTTTCAAGCAATTTAATGTGGGAAAAGTTGATTTTCTGTAAAAGTGGTATTTTACATTTTTGTCAATCCCGTTATTCTTAAAAATAGCTAATTATTATAGTTAAGATAAAAATATATATGGAAACTTACATATATGGAAACCTGACTACAAAAACTTAAATAATAAGTACCATTTCGAATCTGGAATCCGGATTTCTAACTTTCTACTCATCCTAGACCGGTTCTAAGTGGAATTAGCATGCTGATTTTTTATGCCTAACTCTTGACATGTTGGATTATAAAATATTAATAAGTCAAATTGCTAGATTGATTTACGTATGTTTTGATGATTAATGTTAAGTTAACTATGATTTAATGATTAAAATAATTTGAAACTCTTGCCGTTTCATATATTAATCTAGAAAAAAGTATTTCGGGAAAATTGCCTAGAAACGGAATTCAGAGGATGAAAATTTGAGAAAAAATGTGAAAATTCTGATGATCTCTGAGTCTTTCTTAAATTATGTAATTACTTTTGTGACCACTTTTAAACACACCCAACTACCTATTATGCTATTTCTATTATTTAGACAAAAATACAGTTAATGTTTTTATCCTTTTTTATTTTTTATATAAGCATTTCTTAATAAATGCCAGACAGACAATCATTTGATAAAAAATTTAAACAAATAATACAAAGTGCACCTGACAAAATAATAAATAAAAATTTAAAAAAACAAGCGGATGTTACAAAATTGTATGTATGTATTTCAATATGTATATAAATATCTAAATGTTATTTGTAAACTACTTAGTTATTTAGTTAAATATTTATATTTTAATTTAAATGAAATTATTTTTTTTATTTTTTATTTTCATTTCTATTAAATTTATTTTTTTAATTAATGCAACTTCATCAAAGGGGAAAAAGCAGAAAATTGGTGAAAATCTTTAATTTTTTTATTATAATAAACACTAATTATTAAAATAAAAATAAATTTTAGAAAAATTAATATCGTTTGGAAATAATTCTCAAAATTATGAGGATGCAAACAGTCAAATTATAGACTTTAAACAGAAGCTGATATATTCTACTAAAGGGAAAGAGTCACAAAATAAGACAAATAATTCTTTAAATTTACCTTCAATTTCTAATAAAAATTCAAAAAAATTAAAAAATATTGGGGAAAGTTCTCATTTATCTTCAAATAAATTATTTGATGATAAAAGAGAATATTTTTCTGAAGATAAAAATATTATAAATAATTCGAAGAAAATGAATTGTCGTAAAAATGTAAAATTAATAATTTAAAAAATAGTTTTGAATTTTATTTAGTATTTTATAAAATTAATAAAACAGCTTTTAATTTTAAAAGCCCCTTGGTGCTAAAAAATGTATTTAAAAATGTGTGGTATCTTGCGTGGGTATCGCTAAGTTAATAGTAGGAATTCTATTAGGGACTGTGCTTCAATTAAAGGCTGTGCTTTTATTTTTCGATTCTCTCATAGTGTGTGCTTATTATGTATTAGAAGTGTGCTTCAATTAGAAGATTTACGGCAGGTTTTTAAATCTTATAATATTCTGAAGTGAAGAAAAGTTAATAAATTTTCCCTCACCCGGTGATCAAGAACCAAAAAACATCTTCAAAAGATTTTTTTATTGGGTGTATCAGGGAGATCTAACTTTATCTGTTAATTCTGCATTATTTAGGATGTGGAAATGGTCCAACAAATATATAAAGAAATTTCAAGTCTTACTTTACCTGACTATATAGTAGATAATATTCAATCTAATGTAGGGACCAGTTCAAACAATAAATTAAAATTGTTTAATTACCCAATTGAAGATCAAAAGACACCAATGAATAAGGGTATAGACAATAATTTTTAATTAATTTTTCATTTAAATTCTAAATATTACACCTATATATTTTAAATATTTTATGTAAATTACTGACTAGTGCTGGACAAAACCGTTGAATTTCCAATTCATATTTCAAAAAAATTTCTGCAGGCGAACTTTTTTTTCCTATATTTATTTTTGAATCTATTTTTTTAATTAATGCAACTTCATTAAAGGGGAAAAAGCAGAAAATTGGTTAAAATCTTTAATTTTTTATTATAATAAACAATAATTATTAAATAAAAATAAATTTTAGAAAAATTAATATCGTTTGGAAATAATTCTCAAAATTATGAGGATACGAACAGTCA